AAGGGCGAGCTGCGCGCGCAGCTTTTCGACGTCGGCCTCGAGCGTCTGCGTCTGTTCGCGCAGGGCGCCAGTCTCGGCCTCGGCCGCCGCGAGCTGCTCGCGCAGGGCCTCCGCCTGGGCGCGCTGGCGCTCGAGCTCGGCCTCCTGGGCCTTCACCTTCTCCTCCTCCTCGCGCAGCTTTGCGGCGAGAGAAGCGAGTGAGACCGAGAGTGAGGGAAGCTGAGCCTGAAATTCCGCCAATATCCCTTTCTGGTTTCCCCATACATAGAGAATAGAGATATGTACAACATATACGGCATGGGTGTGTATGAATATATATGTAAATATAGATGTGGATGTGTAGGTGATGATGTAAAGATATATAGCGGTGCGTGAAGAAAGAAACCCAATGAGGGGCGATGATAGGCGGGGAGGGGGTACGTACCATGTCCTGCTGCTGGGTTGCGGCGAGCTTGAGCTGGTCGTCCTTCTGATGGAGCTCGGCCTTGAGCCGCTCGGTCTCGGTGTCGAGGAGTGCCTGGCGTTGGGCGGTCTCCTGCTCCTCGCCGCTCGCACGGGCGGCGAGCAGCTGCTCGGTGCGCTTGCGCTCCTCGGCCAGGTCGTGGTCGAGCGCGCTGAGCCGGCTCTCCAGTTCCTTTTCCTTGAGCTCCTTAGCCGCACGCACGCTCTCCAGCTCATCGCGCAGCCTGCCCAGTTCCTCCTCCGCCACTGCCGTACCAGCCACCGCCACTGATGACTGTGACAATAATCAGCTGTGTGTCGTGTGCGTGTCGTGTCATACGCGTGTCGTACCGCGTCCAGCTTTTCTTTGAGCTGACGGATCTCTTCGTCCTTGGCCAACAGTTCCTGTTGCAACTGTTCATGTATGCGAGGGAAGGCAATTAGCGCGTGTGCTCGTCGCCCCTTTTGCCCATTGTGCGCACCTTGGCGACGCTTTCCTCCGAGTTGCTGCGGGATCTGATGAGGCTCCCGCCCACGCGCGTCGGCGGTCTCTTGCCGGTCTGCATGGGCTTGTCCTTGCTCATCGACGCCAATCGCTCACCAGTCGGCCTCACGATCTCAGACCGAGACTCCACCGGTGTTTCTGTACATACACATATTGAGGACTGTGCGTGTCGTGTGTGTGTCGTGCGTGTCGTGCGTGCAGTATATAGTCTGTGTTACCGGTATTCGATCGGTCGGGATCGCTGAGTGCGCGGCGACGTTGGGCGGGCAGCATGCCGGGGGTGGTCTTCTGCAGCTGCAGCTCCAGTCGCTTCTTGAAGGCCGCCTTCTTGTCCTCGGCGCTCTCCTCGCCACTCGTGCCGCTCGAACTGGTCGTGGTGGTGGTCGCCTCCGGCTGTGGTGGCACAGCCTTGGCCGCCGCCGTGGTTTGCTCGAGCTGGGTGATGGTGGCTTGGAGCTGGTGCTCGCGCTCGTCCCTCTTCTTGAGCTGCTCCTTGAGCGCGTTGATCTCCCGGTTGAACTTCTTGCGCTCGTTCTTGCTCACATTTGCCTCGGCCGCCTGCTGGGCCTGGGCGGCCTGCTGGGCCTGCGCCCCGCCGTTCTTCTTCTTGCCCTTGGGCGACGGCGCAA